GGAGAGAGAGGGGAGTGCCCCGAAATGTGTTCTACATTTTTCCCTTTAAAGGGCCCCCTTAGGGGCTTGATGCATTTTGCTGTTACTGAAGGTCTGGAAATACATTTGGACCCTGATTTTTCACAGGTTAGTTTCCCCGGTACTGCTTTTAAAGAAAAAATTTCACTGAAATTTTTGAAACACGCCTTTTTTCCCCTTTAAATTTCATAAAAAAAGCCTGTTAACAGTTTAAAAATATTATAAAATTTGTAAAGCAATAGAGATAGGCCTAAAAAAAGGCATATACAGTACACCCCAATTACTTCCCTTAAAAAAATTTTTTTTAAACCTTATAGGGAGTGGTGAAAAATTTACTGCAGAAATCTGAATAAATGAAGAATGGGTATACAGTGGACCCCCATTACAAACCCAGCCCCAACTCGAAAAATTTATGTAAGTTTTTATTTTTGAAAAGTGCTTTTGTAAGTGTTTTTTTTTGGGGGTCTAAAATGGACTAATCTAATTTACTTTCCCTTAGGGGAAAGAAAATTCGCCCGGGTTTAACGGTCCCCCCGAACACCCTTCTGGGGGGAATTAATATCGAAAAGGTTGGGGGCCCACTGTAATTGAAAACCTCTGCTTAGCAAAATGCAAAATGCTGTAAAGTGGACCCCCCTGTAAGAAATTTTCTTGCCCTTAGGGGTTTTCTTAGGTACATAATTTACACATGTGTTACTATGTAAGATAATTGTAAAAACTAAATTTGGAAAACCCAGAAATTTTAAAACCCTTTACTTTCTTGTGCAAAGGTGCAGAAATGGGGTTTCCTCAGTGGTCCCACCATGTGGAGGTGTGTGAAGGGAGAGGAAATTGGAATATCACCTCAGAAAGGATGTGGCTTTCACCCCATTGCCCTCAAACGACCCCCAGTGCCTTCAGTAGGGCCTTTCCCGGAGGGGCAGTACCATTTTTGGGCCCATCCCCAACAGCCCACACTCAAACATCAACCAACAGGTTGCTGGATCGCTAGGGGAAAGGGCCGGCCACCAACATGTAGCAATTTTGGGGCCCAAAACACAATTTGGAGAAAATAAATGGACTGCAACAAAATGAAAAAGAAACTCAACTCTCTTTCCAGAAAACAGAAAATTTGTGGATGTAATTTTTTGGGAACTCGAGCAAAACTCATAATTCTTCCGCCTAAAAAAATCCCCTAAACCCTTTTCCACAAAACTACATTCAACACACAAATTAAATCGAAAAAATTCTGAAATGACTATGAAGAGAATGGACGGGTTTTTTGGGCTGAGAGCCAAGGCTGCCCATCCCATGGGACCTCTGTATTCAACAAAGCTCGGGTGGTTGGGATGAGCCCAGGTCACGAAGGGGTCGGGTTTCCGGGAGGACGGGTTTTCAAAGAAGCCGTTTGTATATCAATTTTTTTGGGGCCCAAGTGAGGTACCCCTTAGTGACCCCCTTGTTTGTGGTAACTTGTTAAAAACTTTAATAGATAAAAGTAATAAAAGGGGAGATTTTTTCCAGGTTTTGAAGCTTTTTAAAAATTTTCAGGATATGCTGAAGAGGATAAAAACCCGCAAAATTTTTTTTTTTTTTTTAAAAAAATTTCCTCTTTTAAAGTCACTGTGCAGGAAAACCAATAAAATTTAAATTGGAGTTTTTGAAAATGCAGAAAGACACACGGGGGGTCAGCTAGATACAAATATATAAAAATCCTGGGCACAATCCCCCACTCTCCCCCCCATTTTGGGACCAGGGAACCTATGTCGTAAAGCGGGGAAGTCTCGAATTTAAATTTGAATTATAAACGCTGTTTTGGAATAAAGGGGTTTTTAAGATAAACTGGGGAGTGTACTTCTAATGTTATTGTGTGTGTCTATCACAGGGGAAACAATAAGGGACCCCCCCAAACGATAAAGCCCCCAACTCGCCCAGTTATGTAAGTGTGTTTTTGTAAGTGCTTTTGTATGGGGGAATTTTTGGGGGCCCTAAAAACAACAAATCTTTCACAATACCCCCGTGGGGGAAAACAAATTCGGTTGGTAATGGCCCCCCCGAAACGGGAACTTTGGAAAAATTGAAATAATATCGTTAGGCGGGGGTCCACTTATTTTTTTAAATAATCATAAGGAAGTGCTAAAACCCATAGGGGCTACAGTACCTGGGGGGGGTTTGGGGTTACTTGGGGTTTAATGTTACAAAATGTAATTATAAGGGATTACTATATTTCACAGCAAAAAAACCCAAATTAAATTCTATTTAAAAATTTTTAGTTTTTGTATAGAAAGGGAAAGCTCATTTTGGAAAAAATTTAAATAAGAAAGAAAAATATTTTAACCTCTGAATCCTCGCATCAAAACTGTTTAAAGGGGACCCAGTTAGGTAAAAAATATATGGTATGCTTTTACTTCCTGGGTTTTATTTATGCCTCTGAATGCATTTCCTAGGGTTTCCCTTTTCCTAATAAACCCTTACAAAAAATTGCATATTTAAATTTTGTTCAAATTAAAAATTTAACATTCATAAATTCTGGGTTAATAAGGGCCCGGTCTCACGTTGTTGAACAGCAAGGAAGGGACCGAGGGGGAAAGGGTTTTTTGTGGGTTTACAATATAGGTTTTCGACCCGAAGGCTATGGGGTTCTGGAGGTGTGCTGAAAATGGTCTTTCCACACCCGAACCCCCCACAGGTGATCCCCCACCAAACTGGTCTTGGGAACCTTGCCAAACATTAGTAATAATTTTTACAAAACAAATTCCCGGGACATAGTACTCACATTAAAAAAAAAGGCCCCCCAAAAAAAAAGTAATGTGTAATTTTTTTAAATTTTTATTTGCCATTTTTTTTTGGGGAAAAGGGGAAAGTATTTTAGATATTTGGGAGTGGAAAGTGTCAGCGGGTGATTCCCATGAAAGATGAGGGAAAACATAGAAAATTTATGAGGGGGAAAAGGGGAGGGGTGCACTTTGGAGTCTGTGGAGAAAAAAAGAACTTTGGGCCTTTGGGGGCAAAGAGGGGAATGTATGAGGTATAGTTTTACCAATGCCTTATTGGGTGTGAAGCATGGGGGATGAATGTTGCAGCGAGGGAAGGCCCGGAGGCAAATGGGATGTTTATGTCTGGGGGGCAATGTGTGGTGGAAAATAATGCAGAGAATTCATAGTTTTGGGAAATTAGGAGGGGGTGCGGGGTTTCCAAAAAATGTTTTCCAGAGGGTGAGGAAGGGTTTTTGAAAGGGGGTTCGGGCATGTAGAAGAATGGAAACGAAACAAGTGACTTCAAGAGGTATCAGGGCTGTATGGAAAAAAGGCGGGGTAGGGGGGCCGGCCTAGGAAAGGTTGGAGGGAGGGGGTTTAAAGGGGGGTTTTTTTTGTGCGAGGGGGGTTTGGGCTTCCAGCAGGAAAAGCGTGAGCGTGTTTTATAGGGTGAAAAGGTGGAACAAAAAGGTTTTTTAAAACCTTTTCGTGCTGTTTTGGGGTGGAGGGAAAGTAACCCCTTTATGGGAAAGGGGTTTAGGGAAACCGGCAGGGGCCGGACTTGAGTCGGGGGGGATGGGAAGTAAAAGTGCCTGCACTCTGAAAGGGGGGTGTTAAAAAGTTTTTTTAGTTTAAAAAAATTAGTTTTAAAGCACCCTTCGGCAAGACAGTGTGGGGTGAATGATGGGGAAAGTTTTTCTTTTTTTTGGGCCCACCCCGCCCTTTGGGGGGAATCGGGCCCCGTGTGATAATAAAAAAAAAAAAAAAAAAAAAAAAAAAATACATGTAAATTTTTTTTTAAAATTGCACCCCGAACAAAATTTTTTACGAATTTTTCCCGAACTGTATTTTAGTTTTCCTTCATGTGAAAATCTTGAGTTGCTCATCTTCCCGCATATATGATAGTACTCATTTTTTATTGATTAAATTTCCCTTTTAAATCGAGAATAGTTATTGTTATTTTTATTAGGGGGCCCAAAAGTTAAAATGTAAATAGAGGCAATCAGGTTTTCCCTTTGGGTCAAGAGCCCCTCAAAATTTACATCAAGGCACAATGCCAGGGGCACCATTTCCCGGATAGACACCTGAAATTCAATTTTATTCTTTAAGGAGGAATGCTTGTATTTAATATGTAAGTTTTATTTTCCCCCCAATATGTTTTTTTAAAAGTTAAAATTTTCAAAGGGGCTCTTATTTACCTCAGCCTTTTTTTACAGGAAAGGGCTGTTATCCTAGCCCATTTATTTACGGCTACAGTTGGGTTAACCCACCCCAGATCATTTACAGGCTATGGTCTCTTAAACCCCACCTCATCTCATTTCAGGGGGTATAGTTTTGTTTTCCTACCCCCCGCTCTTTACAGGGTATTTGGGGTGTTATGCCCACCCCAGCTCATTTACAGGATAGGGCTGTTATTTTTACCCCAGCCATTTACAGGATACGGGCTGTTATGTTACCCCAGCTCCCTTTACAGGGTTGGGCTGTTTTTGCTACCCCCCCTCATTTTTCAGGATACGGGCTGTTATTTTACCCCCCGCCCCCATTTAAGGATACGGGCTGTTATGCTAACCCTGCCATTTAAGGTACGGGGCTGTTTTTGCTAACCCCCGCTCATTTTCAGGATATGGGCTTTTTATGCTAAACCCCAGGGTCATTTACAGGCTAAGGGCTGTTACCCACCCCAGCTCATTTTAAAGGCCCAAGGGGCTTTTCCACCCCCGCTCATTTACAGGCTAACAGCTGTTATCCATCTCGCTGGAGAACATTTCCCGGGTCCAGGGAACCCCGGAGTTAGTTTTTCCCCCCTTTATTAACCCCCTTCAAACCCTGCAGTATGAACTGGGGGGAGAAAGGCCAAATTGTTGAAAAAAAAAAAAAAAAATAATAATTATTATCTCCTTTTTTAGTTTTAAAAAATAAGGTAATTTGAAGGGGGCCCCAAAAGGAAAAATGTCACTTTGTCTGACTTTTTTGGGGTTTTTCCCAGGGTTTTTCAAAAAATTCCCGCGGCTGTTATGTTTTATAATCTATGTAACTGTATTTGTGTATACCTGAATAAACTTACTTACACAGATTGAGCATGTTGTTTATAATGATAATGATAATAAATACAGTGAACCCTCTATTAGATGGACTAAATAGAGGAAACTAGTGGCTAGTAATAGCAACTGTGGTGACCAGAGAAAAGATTTTTTTGTTGTGATTGTAACAATAATGAACAGTTCCATGACCAAATGACTTTGTCCATTGTTTCCAAATCTACTGACCCAGCAGATTTTGTTATGTATTTCCCAAATAGAGGGTTTACTATAATAGTAATAATAATAATAATAATTTCAGGCGAGAGCCATGTTAATACTTTTCTTCAAGAACATAAGGGTGCAGGAATACAACACATTGCATTGTACACACCCACCATAACGGCTACTGTTAAGTATATGAGTGACAATGGTGTCACGTTTCGCAAACCTCCGCCAGTTTATTATGAAGAGGTATGTGGTGTTTCTGCATTTATTTATATTCACCTCAATTGAAGATTCCTCTCATAAAGCAGAACTGTTCATCTTTGCAATCTGTTTATGTTATACTTTACTATACCTTAGAGTAAGAGATATTTTCTTGCATATTCAATACTACTGTGATTAATATTTACAGTATAACAATAACAGAAATGCTATTGCTACTGCAGATACAAATAATACAATACTTTACTCACGAAATCATAATAACATGAGTTTTAGAATTCCCCTACCATGGGTTCAGACCTCACCTGTTTGATTTAATACAATACTTACCACAGATTCAGACCTCACCTGTTTGATTTAATACAATACTTACCACAGATTCAGACCTCACCTATTCGGTGATTTAATACAATATTTACCATGGGTTCAGACTTCACCTGTTTGATTTAATACAATACTTACCACAGATTCAGACCTCACCTATTCGGTGATTTAATACAATACTTACCACAGATTCAGACCTCACCCATTCAATGATTTAATACGGTACCTTAATCACATGAATGCTATGAGAACATAGTTGACTTTTCACCTTACTCTTTATTTCTGAGGTCAGGTGTAACTACAGTGTTGTGGGTATACATAATCTCTTATTTATTATAAAAATATTAGTGTACTGTTTCCAAATTTTCTAAATATTAGTGTATTTCCATTCTTAAAAAAACATTGTTTTGATTATTCCTGTATTTTTTACATACACGAAAAAGTGCCAGAATTGTAGGGATCATGCAGTACCTTGGGAGTGGGAGGTAATTAGGTTTGATCCAAGGTAGAGGGTAGCTCCAGTTCCTTGGATCAAGAGCCTTTTACTGTCATCAAGGCAGACCCTTAAAATTCTGAAGTGGAATAGATTTCCTGACTGGGATGATGCCGTCTAACCTAGGAAAAGTTGGGCTACAGTTCTATTCCCATACATAATTTAGTTTTCTCAACTCCTCAGCATGCCTCTGGCAATACACTGATGAAATGAGAGATGATGAAATTGTTTCTTTTTTGGGTCACCGTGCTTGGGTGGGAATGGCCGATGTGTTAAAAAAAAAAAAAAAAAAAACACTGGCAGTTAGAAATCCATAAGTTGCTTGATCTGAACTTAAGGGAATACTGATATTTGATTTCAGTAGTAAAAAAATAATTGTGTACTCTAGTTGCATCAGTGTAATGGACAATTGTCACATTAGTTGTACATGTGTCCTTTTACCTAACAAATTGCCAGTAATTCTACCTTTTTCTAATGAACAATTGTCAATGAGAGACCTTACCTTACTAACAGACAACAATACATCTCTACATTAACCCTCTTTATCTGACATAACAACTACATTAACCCTTGTTATCTGACATAACAGGGTATTAAACTGGAAGAAATTGAAGAGGCTGGTTATGGCAAGGAGATTAATGATTTTAAGGCACTGGGCATCTTACTGGATACCGAAGCAGACGAATCAAACGACTTCGGAAATACTGAAACACGTGAGAAAAAGAGGTAAGGACTGTACATGTAAACATGTGGTGCAAGAATGGTATATAATACCTACTCCAAGGTTGAGGGGCTGATTGCCTCATCTTCTGTACATAGTCTTACTGTCTTTAAGTTATGTCCTAGAATTTGTATTGATAAAGCCACTGGATGGCGAAACGTCTACAATAAAGATACCCAGATGTTGCACATGTGTCTTAATTTCAACATGTAAACATGTAGAAAGCAAGAGCAGCAAAAGGCAGAGAGGTACAAGAGCGCAATGTATGGAGACTTTTGGAATGCCCTGTTGAATCTAAGAATGGGAAAAACAAGAAGTGATTTGGAAGTATGAGACTAGAGCAGAACAAAAGTTACAGTGGTGAGTGTGTGTAAGTGTGCAAGTGTGTGTGAGAGTATGTGTGTGTAAGTGTGCAAGTGTGTGTGAGAGTATGTGTGTGTGCACACATGCATTCATGTGCATGTGCACATGCTAGCCTAAACTAGAAAGCAGTGCATCAGGATTATTATTATTATCTTCTGGGGAAACACTATACCTGTAGGGGTTAACAGTACTTAGGAAATAGGAGGAAAGAATGGGTAGCTCCAATTCCTTGGATCAGTAGCCTTACCTGTATCAAGATGCCATCCTTAAAGGATGATGGAAGGTAAAGGGTGGTGTTGAGGGATGGCCATAGGCTGGAAGGATTGAGGTCAGAGTTCATGAAGCAAATTGGTATTAGCTAAGAAATCCAAAAGTATCCGTAGCTAAGGTGGAGCCATCTAAGAGAAGACGGACAGGTAAGTATGACAGGGAAATTTTGGGAACCCCGGTTGAAAAAAATAATTTTAAAAAAACCAGGAAGTGTTGGGGGGGGGGGGGGGTGGGGGGGGGGGGGGGGGGGGGGGGGGGGGGGGAAAAGTTGCCAATTCGTTGTAGGTTTTTTAAAAATTGGGGCCAAGTATTTTAATTATTTTTCCAACATGAAAAATTGAAATGGGCCCCTTACCTTTAAACAGAAAAAATCTTTAATTTTTAAAAAAAATTTTTTGGGGGGAAAAAAATTTTTAACCTTTTTAGGGTTAACATTATTAAGGAAAAATGGGAAAAAAAGGGGGAATGGGGTGTTAAATTTTTTTTTTAAGGAGGGCCTTTCCCGGGATACCAAGAGCAACCCAAAGGATTGGGAATTTAAAAGGGGGGGAAAAAGGGGAAGGGCCTTACGGGAAATTTGGGTCAAAAAGGTTATAAACCAAATTGGGGGTTATTCCCTTAAAGAAACCCAAAAGTTTTTCCTTTTTAGCAAAAAGGTGGAGGAAAATCTTAAATAAGGAAACCGGGTGTTGACAGGTGTTTTAAAACTTTAAAAAGGACATTTTAAAGAAGAGCACGGAAGGGTAAAAAAGGCAATGAAATGGAGATTTTGGGCCCCCTTAAACCCCAAGAATGGGGAAAAAAACCAAAAGTTTTAAATTGGGCTGGCCCTTTGTTCCCCGGGAAAAAAGGTGGTAAGGGTAATTGTTTAAATATTTTGGGTTGCTTTCTGGGGGTTTGGTGGTTAACCCCTTAATAGGGCTGGGGCCTTTGAAATAAAAAGCAGGTGGGGGTTAAAAATCTTCCGGGGAAAACATTATTTGGGGGTGTTAAAAAAGGGAAAAAAAAAAATTTAACCCAATTTTTTTGGGGTTCATGGGCCTTTACCTTTATTCAAGTCCATTAAAATGTAGGAATAAAAGGGTTTTTTGGGGGTCCAAAGGGGAAGGGTTGGGGTTCGAGTTTTCCGAAGAAATTTATTCCTGGGAAATAAAAGTAAATTAGTTAAAGGTCCATTTGGGAAAACCCAAAAATACATTATAAAGGGGACTTAATAAAAAACATTTTAATAAGGTTGTGGGGGGACAATTCGATTTTTGGGTTCCCCGGAAAATATGGAAACTTTTCCATAAAAAATTTTTCCCGGAGAATTGGTCCAAGGGTTTAAGGTTTTTGATTTTTAGGGCTTCACCCTTTGGGGGTTAATATTAATACTCTTTGTATTTGGGGTTTTGGGAAAATTTTGGGCCCTTAATTTTTGATTTTTAAAGAAAAAAAAAAATTAACCAATTTTCGGGGTACTTAGGATTCATTTTAAAATTAAAAATACCTTTTAAAATAAAAAATAAAAGAATTTTTTGGCCCAAAATTTTTCATTTGGCCTTTAGTAAATTTTTAAAATTGGGGGAAATTAATGGTTTTTTAAAAAGGCATTTTGATTCTTTTCACGACTAATTTTTTTGGGACAGTTCTTTTTTATTAGAATTGCCCCGGGGGGGGGAAAATTTATGGGGGGGGGAAGGGTTTGAAAAATTTGGGGGGATTGGGTTTTGGTTTTGGGTTTTCTTATGCTAAAAAAGGGGTTTTTTTTTAAACCCATGATTAAGGACGTTGGGGTTTTCCACAGAACAGTCTGGTTAATTCTTTTTTTTTTAAATAATGAAAAATAAAATTAAAAAATTTAATTTGGTTTAAAAAAAATTTGCCTTTATAAATTTTTAAAAGTGGGAAACTTTTCCTTCCCCCCCGGACAAATGATTCACACCCTTTTTAAAGAAATTTTTCCTTCCCTTTTTAAAGGGGTTTTCCACCCAGGTGGTGAAACGGTTTTGGGCAGGAAAATAACACAAGGCTGGTCCTTTAATTTTATAAACAACGGAAGAAAAAATTCGGAAAACCACCAGAACATTTGGGCAGGATTTAACCGTATTTTTAAATGTTGTGAAAAAAACATTATTTTGGTGAAAAAACCAAGGAACCCTAAACCCCCTTTTTTTTGGGGAAACATTTCATTTGGGAAAGGTTTTAATTTTAAAAATTACAAAACCCCACTGAAATTTTCCCCCCAATTTCAACCTTTTATTGAAATTTCCAACATCCCCAAAAAATTTAAAATGATCGGAAGCATAATTTCCATGGGGTTTTAAACCCCGGGGAAAAACCCAAACCCCCGGGGGGGGGGGGAATAAAAAAAAGGGGGGGGTTTGGTTTTTTGCAATTTTTTCATTACGAATTAAAGGTCTTTTGGTTCCCAAAGGGAATAAAACCCCTTTATTAAACTTTAAATTTGAGGTTTTGAACTTGCTGACCCCCCCCCCTAATTTCCCCCCCCTCAAAATTTTTACGTCCCTTTTATTTTGGTGGGATTTTTGAAAAACCGGGGTTTTCTTGTTTAAGGGGGTTTTTTTTTTCCCGGGGGGGATTTTGTTTCTTGTGATTTTCGGTTTGAATTTTTGGTTCTCTTTCTTTTCCTTTCGAAAAATTGGGCATTTTAAAACCATTGGGGGTTTGGGGGGGGAAAATTAAAAAAAATCGGGGGGAAAAAAATTTGGGTTTGTTAATTAAAAAAATAAGGGGGGGAAAAAAAAGGGGGTAAAAAAAGTTTTGGGGGTTATACCTATTTTTTTTTAAACCCTTGTGGAATAGTTTTTTATATTTTTTTTATAGAATTTAGTTTAATTGTTTATCGAACCCTTATTTTTTAAAAAATTTTAAATCTATTATAAAAAATTTTTCCCCCTTATAAATAAAATTATTCTTAAAACCCAACTAAAAATTTATTATTTTTTTTTCAACCCTAAAAATACAAAAAATATTCAATTTTCTCCTATTTCCCCAGATGATTTTCCCAAACCCTTCTGGGGATCCATGTTTTGTTTTGAAACGGCTTGATAAAGATCCTGGGGGGAGAAAAAACGTTGCCCCAAAAAAAATGTCACTTTTGTTGACTTTTTTGAAACCATAGGGGGACTGCCCGTCCCCATGACTTTGTCACTTTGTTGTACTTTTAGTAAATTGGTCGCCCATATTTACTTAGTCACATTTTTGTACATATTTGGCGGGCCCCCCCCCCCAGTCACTATTGTACTTTAGTCACATTTTTTTGTACTTTGTGACTATCAGTACTATTACATATTTCCGTTGTTGTCCCTTTTATTTGGCTGTAAAGTCCTTTTGGTACTTAGTCACTTTGGGTTTTACATAGGGGTTGTCGTCATATGTACATAGCCCACATTTGTTGTACATAGTGGCTTTTCATCACTATGTACATGCCCAAACTGTTGTACATAGGGGGACTATCAGTCACTATGTACTTTTTTAAAGTCACATTTTTTTGTACATAGTGGCTGCCCGTCACTATGTACATAGTCACATTGTTTTTACATAGGGGACGGGCAGTCCCTATGACATAGTCACATTTTTTGTACCATAGTGACGGGTCAGTCACTATGTCTTTGTCACTTTGTTGTACATGTGACTGCCCGCCCACTATGTACTAGCCCATTGTTTTTTACATAGTAAATTTTCAGTCCTATGAACAAAAGTACATTTTGTACAAAAGTGACGGGTCAGTCACTATTTACATAGTCACCTGTTTTTACATAGTGACTATCGTCACTAGGTAATAGTAAACATTGTTTTTAAATAGGGGCTGTCGTCACTATTTTAATAGTCACGGGTTTGTACATAGTGACTGCCCGTCACTATGTACATAGTCACATTGTTTTTTACATAGTGACTGTCAGTCACTATGTACTAGTCACTTTGTTGTACATATTTGGACTATCAGTCACTAGGGACAAAAGTCACATTGTTGTACATAGTGGCTTTAAGTCACTATGTACTTTGGGTCACTTTTTGGGACTTTAGTGACTGTCAGTCACTATGTCGTTCACTTTTTTTACTTGGGGACTATCAGTCACTTGAAACATAGTCCCCTTTTTTGGACTTTAGTGGTGTCAGTCACTTGAAACCATAGTCCATTGTTGCCCATATTTGACTGTCATTCACAATGACATAGTCACAATTGTTGTACATATTTGACGGGTCAGTCACTAGTACATAGTCACATTTTTTGTACTTTGGGGACTGTCAGTACTTGTACTTTGTCACATTGTTTTTCCCATAGGGGACTGTCGCCCACTATGTACATAGCCCAAATTGTTGTACATAGTGACTGTAGTCACTATTTTCATAGTCACTTTGTTTTCATAGTAAACTGTCAGCCCACTA